AATGCTGTGTATAGTTTTGATTTGTTTCTTCTGCCCTTATTTCTTTCCACTTTTGGTTTGTTGTTTTTTTTTTGAACGGTAATTTATTTTTGTTTGGATTATAGGCAGTATCTGTACATTTTGTTTCAAGGTGATATTGTGGATGTCTTTAAAAAACCAAATTGTTATTTTATATAATTTTATCATAAAGTTGCTCTAATAAATCATTCTTTTATCATGTGACAGCGATTCTGCATTTTGTGTGTTAATTTGGAGGGGARTGTGTGTTTGGTGAGGACAGATTTTTTCAATCACCTGTTCTAGCTGGTGTTAAGTGCAGTGCAATGAGAGAATTGTCAGCAACTGACGAGTCACAGCACGATTGGATCAGTCCTGGGGCATATCCCTCTCCAAAGAACAGGAGTCCCCTTAATCCCCCAGAATTTACAGGGTTCAAGTCCCTAAGCCCTATCAGATGAAGGTGGCACATCTGAGTATGGTATGGTGATACTGATTTAATGTTTGTGCTGTTTGTTTCATTGCCATCATTAACTTGGTGGCTGAATCCAGTCTCAAAGTGATCATTCCCCAGGAGGTGTGTGATTACAGATAGATTATTAGACAATTTCAGACTTACTCTTTTGGTCTCACCTTACATATGTAYATATTTATTTGTGAAGTACTTTYTGACTTTTTCCTTCATTTCACCAGTGTCYTCCTTCTCTCCTGCAGTTCTGAGTTTTGTGTCCTTCTTGTCTCTTTTGAAATAATTTTAATTCCTCCTCCTCTGCACTGCCTYCAGCCTCCCCCACCCTGCCTGGTGCCCCATGGGACTCTGCATTAGCACAGCTCCTGTAGGGAGCAGAACACATGCAGCTGATGAAAACATGGCATTGTTTGCCAGCAATAACTAGAACAGAAAGAGGAAGAAAATATCAGTCCCTAAGTAGAATCACTGGGAGATTTTCCATCCCCTGGTGACCCTTCCATCAGATACTTGAACACGAGACCTTTTATATTTAAAAGTGATAGGGTGGGATTTTGTGTTTGAAAAAAAAAAAAAGTAATCTTACTCCTCTCTTAAAAAGCTTCCGGAAGCTTAGTTTGCATGTGCTGTGTCTGCAGAGGTTTTTTGTGTTGTCAGAATGAAGGGCTGGATTACATACTAACAATATTGCCTCGCCCCAGGCTTTGCTGATGGTGTTTGAACTGGGATGCTGTGCACAGGGCCCTTTTGAAATCAATAGTRCACCCACTTCATTAATTTTTAACAGTTTGACTGAATAAACATAAGAGGGAGTGGAACTGTGGCCAAAACTATTTGCAACATAATGAAAGCTGCGAGAATTGAAAAATAAACGATAGATGGGAAAAGTAATGATCTCCTCTGTGCATCTTCCTGCTGAGCCTTCAGCTGCAAGCCTCAGCTGCTTTGAGAAATAGAGCCTGATTTTTCTAGCAGGGAGCACCAAAGCCTTTGCCTTGAGCAGGGTTTCAGGATCCTTTCTCAGAGCAAAGCTTTTCAGTCTTCGGAGGAGACAGGTTTCTTTTTTGGATTTTGCATGAAGATCCAGCGGTGGATGCTCGTCCTTTGGGCTCTGCCCATGCCATGGAGAGAGCAGCGTGTCTTTCTCACCAAGGACATCCATGGACTGTTGAAGAGCAAAGCCCTGCTGGTCTCAGCTGTTCTGGTGAGATGGGGTTGGTGTGGGGCAGCAGTCTGGCTGCAGGRGATGTTGCTTTCCTTAGCAGTGCAATATTTGGATGCAACCCTGCAAAGACTGGGAGCACCAGCCCACGGGAGCTCCCCTGTGYAGTTATCCAGGAAAAGTGTCTTATTTTAGTGGATTGGCTGCTGAGCTCTGATTGATGTGAACTGAGCAAGAGAAGCCAAGAGTAGTGAAGGTAAGAAAACAGCACTCAATAGGACTCTACCCTGATGAAGCCTTTTCTCCTCTGAACAGAAAATACTGAAAATACTGTACTTGTCAAAAGGGTTGGTGCTAGAAAAGGTTTGTTCAACACTKACTTCTCTCAACATTCAAATCACAGGAAGGAAAAACATGCAAAAATCCCAAAATGTACCATCCACCTGGAACCCATAGACAATTCCCAGACACGAGGAGATCCAGAGGCACAGGTGAAGTTTGGGATTGAGCAAAACCAGTGACCACAGAGAGCAGGTCACTCCTTTGGGSGGTACGTTTTTCCTTGGGAATGGATCTCCTTTGCAGTCACTGACACCTGGGCTGGCTGAAAGAGGATGTATTATAACTGCTCATATCACACCTGCACCTCAGGAAAGGGACCTTTCTGTAAGCAAACAGTATTCTTTGTGTTTAAGAGGGTCTGAGGAGTGAAACTGCATCGGGCCAGCAGTGCCCTGGGTTGGCAGGCGCTTTGCAAATCAAAGAGAAGGAGTATAATTTTTGTAATACTAAATATATTCAACACAGCACACAYTGAAGTATTTTCCTAATACTTGCTGGTCATCTTTCCCAAGTATGACTGGAAGGTGAGTGCTATTCAGGAGGAGAGAGGAGACAGAGACAGAAAAGGACTCTGCAGTCCCTGGTGCTATATGAATCACTGATTTATTTGTTTTCAATTTAAATATTTTTCCAAACAAAACATGGCTGGCAGGCATTTATGTTTCATTTTGGACTGAATAAAATAATTCCAAATAAGTTAAATATTTCAAGTTAAAAGTTTCGAGTCTGTGGTCAGGTATTTTACTGAATTTACTGAATATTTTAAAAGATGGAAACTGAGTAAATCTTTAAAAATACTTCCAAATAAATCACAATTTTATTTAGACTTTGAAATTTCCCCTAGGCTTGTCAGCTGAATCATTTTCCAGTTCTAGACTTGAAATAACTTCTTTTGGGTCCCCCTCCCCAGCTAATTTGAGTACACAATCTTTTGGCACAAAGTATAAATAGAGCATTTTTCTTTTCAAGTTTTGGAYCTTGGCTGTTCCTGCCTCCATCCTTCTGTCGACTGTTGGTATTTGGAGCTCAGCCTTGTTCTCATGAAGCAGAAAGTGTAGTTTTGTAGTAATCCCTGCAGTGGTACTGATGTTTTTGTCTATAATTAGCTCTCGGAGATGGGAACGTGTTAAACTGGCAGTTTCTTCTCAGCAAACCTCCCACACAGGCAGAAAAAGCTTTTTCACTGYATCTTTTCATGCACCCTATAAAAAGCTGAAGTCCAGGCATGATTTTTAGAGGGAATCTGTTAACCACAGGGTGCTGCCCAACTGTGCACCGAGAGATGCATTTACTCTGTGTGTGGGATGGTGGCAAATCGGCCAGAGCAAGTGGTAGGAGCTTTGTCTGAGAAATGGGGAAGAGGATGAATAAAGAGAATTTCTTGTTTGCTCTCAAACTTGCTACTWTTTTTCTTTCCTCTCTCCACCTGCATGAACTGGTCAAATAGAATCATATTCTACCCACAAACCTGCTTCCATCCTGAAACTCTCATGCTACAGCACTGTTAGTAAGATCAGAAATGCAGAGTTTTGGGGCTGGTGTGTGAGCTCAGATGGGCAGAAGGAAACCAGGGTTCTGCAGGCTGGAGAGGGAAGGGACAGTGGAATTTATCATTGCTGTAAGTGGTTAGAGAGCTGACAAAGAGAAATACAGGTCCTTTTCTTGGAAGCTGCCCTTCCTCTGATACAACCAGAACTAATATTGGAGGTGATATTGGAGAAATGARTAAGTCCTGAACTTCATACAAAGGTGCTGCTGCCTATGTGGCTCTATCCTGATGTCAGTGGGAGCTTTTGTGGTTTATGTTGGCAGAGTTCATGCCAGGATTTCAGTCCTGCACACAAGCAGGAGCTTAGCTGAAATATTTAGTTGGGATGCTCAGCCTCTGAAGTCATCTGAGGGCCAGGGACTCAAATYACTCCTGGGGGTGATCAGGACCTTTAGCAGGGTGGCTTTCTGGAGCTGCCTTTTCTCTGGCTGCAGATCCTGCCTTCAGCTTGAATCTACAGGGACAGCAGCAGTCTTTGCGTTGTTTTTAAGTCCTGGTAACAGAGATTTGAGATGGTACCCATGATAAGTGATCTGTGCTGTAAATTCAGGAGTGAGGTGTCTGGGCAGACAGGTGTCCTGTCTGCTCCACCGATTTACGTCTTGGCTTCTTTGAGTTCATGCTCTTGTTCTGGTCTTGAGGGAAGCAGGGGACTCATGACACTTTCTTCTCCCCAGGGAAAAGCCTCTTTCTGCTGTWCCAGACCTGTCCTCTGGCTCCTCTTAGTTTTCCTTTGTCAGAAGCTTAATTCAAACTGTGCTAAAGCCTCCTGTTCCAAGCTGTCTCTCCACTGACTCCTTAGAGTACATCCTTCCTCTGGTGCTGCACTAGGGAACCACATCCTTGGGTTCAGGAGGAACGAGGGGCTGCCTGGACAACAACAGCAGCTTTCCCAGAGTGATTTGTGTCAGCTGAGGGGCAGCCTTTGGATTTTACAGAAGATATAATTTCTCCAAAGCTGCCCCAAAGTCAATGTCAGATGTAACCMATTAACAACATCACTGCAAATTCCCAATGCTATGTGCTGAAGATGAGAGCTGCACTGTTTCAAAGGAGCTGGTTTGCTCCCTGCTGTCTGTCCAAGCATGACTACACAGCTTTTGAGAGAAACTGGGTAGAGAGGTGTTTTTTTAAGCTTAAAATGCTTAAAATGAAACTTCTGGTGGGTTAAGAATAATGCAGTGAGAATAGTGTCATGTTTGGGTTGCTAACGGCACCGAAGCTGAGCAGTCCTTCTAAGCAGAGTCTTCTCATGCTGATTTGGACTCTGACTTTAAACCACTGAGTGGGAGCTTTGCCATCCAACAGAGAAAGTTGTGCCAAACAAGTGAAGATCAGGACCTGAGGTCTAAGAACTGGGTGACAACAACTGGATGATAACTTAGCACCCTGCCAGTATTGTGAAACTCGGTGTCTAAGAGGAAGTGATTTACAGCAGGAGGGGTGAAAAAACAGAAGAACCCTAAACAAATCTGCTGACGAAGAGTATGAGCACTGCCTCTTGTACATAAGGCTGGGAGTAACATCAGAACACAGTGGGACGTCCACAGGAGATCTTCCAGGATGGTAAGTACATTTGTCATCATCTTGAGAGAGCTGGGGGGTGGCCATGGGGAGATGAATGCACCTTGTTCATCTGAACAGCCCCAGGGGAGGATTTTGTATAGTGAAGAATCACATTCTTGTGTTTGAGATTCAAAATCTGACAGAGTTTGTTGCTGGTGGAGAAAAGAAGTGCCAAGAAGTGTTTTGGAGGCAAGGAGAAAGCAACCTTCATGTTCTCAACAGCAGTGTCCTGTGGGCACTCAGSAGACTGGCATTAGCTGGTGCCCCAGCCTGTGGAGCAATGCTGAGTAGTGCTTTTATTTATTGCTCTTGGATGAACTTCAGTCATTAAAAYTGGCAGCTGGTGGAGCCCTGAAAGCTTGGAGGGAGCCATAGTTAATTGCTGAATAGCTATTCCTAGGAATTCTCTTTGAATCTCTGATGTTTTCCTTCTTGAAAATTGAACTGCCTGTTTTAGTGCAGTTCTCACGACTTCTGCACAGCAGGTGGAACTYCAACCCATCACCAGTCCTAGATATCAAGAAGGGTTTTGTTTGAACAGAATGGTAGAGGATTCTATTACAGCACACATGAGATCTGTTCCCCTTCACATTTTAAGAAAAATGCTGTTTTTTGAAGCCATTTTGTAAYTGCTGCTGGAAAAGAGAACTGAAACAAGTTGTTTCTGGTAAGCTTCATCCATGTGAGGCCATCACGTGGCTCTAAGTGCACTGACACCTGCAGTTTCTTACCAAGACACTGTCTGGGCCACCAAATGTGACTCTGGGAGCCAGGGGGACAAGGCAGCACCTCTGAGCTCCAGTTCTGTGGTGAGAAGCACCCGTGGTGTTTGTTCCTGGCCAGCCCAGCTGATTGAGACACTGTGCCCAAGCCAGGAGCTGTGAAGTGTGACCTGCAGCCTCAGTGGGCTCTCCTGGCCCAGCCTGAGGGGCTGCTGCTGTTTGTCAGCTGCCTTCCTCCCCCTCCTTTAAAATCCCTTTGCCTCATCTCCTACCCAACCCTCTCACATCTCTCTTGCTCTCTCTTCCCTTTCTTCCCACTGAGTTTTCTGGGTTGGGGTGTGACCACATCCTCTCAGGTTGGGGTTGATGTGTGTTGCTGTCACGCAGATTTCTCTGGGCAGTGGTTTAAATCCCCCCATCTGCTTGGGCTGGCAGCTCTTTGGGGTAAGACATTGAGTCTCTATATTGCGTAAAAACATGATCTGGGATTTCAGAGGTATGGGAATGGCCAACTGTCTTTCATTACTGGCAGCCACTCCATTTCTGCAGGGCTGCCAGCATTTATGACTAYTTCTGGTGTGAAAGGTTGCAGCTGAGCCTGGGGCAGCAAAAGGAAGTGACAGTGAAAAGTGTGAGTAAAACTGCTTTGGGAAGTGGGCCCTGATCTGCTGATCACAGCTGATAACAACAAGMAGGTCCTGAAATGGAAACATGGCTTCCTTCTCTGCAGCTCTACTGTGCTCTTAAGCATGAGTGTTTGTATCTTTTCTCCCCTCTCCACCTTTTCTATTGTTGTCATTCTCTCTCGACTGCTCTTTCACCACAGGCTCTCTCTTTCCACATCCCCCTCTGTGTTCCCCAAGTCACTGTTTCAGACCCTCCTCCGTTGTCTTCCAAGACATCTTCCACCTCTTTGGTTCAGCCCCACCAGCCCCTGTGAGTCAGGTCCCACAGGAAGCCTTTGGGGCTGGGGCTGTGCTGTGTCCATCTCCTCCCTGTTCCATGCAGCCACAGCATCATCAGGAACTGGATGCAGCATGGAAGGTGAACAGCCATGCTGGTTGACTGCTGGGGGAGGGCAGGCACTGTAAACCCATCCAGTTCAGGTGACAAAGCTGGGAACACACGGCAAATGGATGGGACAAATCCGGCAGGATCCTTCCTACATAAAACTTGAGTGTGGCCACCCACACAGCAACTCCATAYCCAACAGCACTGCAGCACCTTCATCCTCCAGGCTACAAATGCCTGGTGRCTCAGGGGTCAGAAAAGGTTGTTCAGGGACTGGGCAGGTGGTGGCATCAGCTGGTGGCACCTTCTGAAATCTGCTGCAGCCTGGGATGTGCTTCTTGCTTCTGAGAATGAAAAATGTCAGCTGGCTCCTGTGGGGTACATTCACCTCTGCCAATGCAGGGATGATTTGTGACCTGCTGTGTATGTGTCAGGTTTCTGAGAAGGCAAAATAGGCAAGTGCCAGCTCCCCCTGCCTCACCATCTGCTGTGAATTTTGGCTTATTTTGGTATTTGCTCTTGTGGTTGCCTGTGCTGGAGCAATGCTGTCTGAGGAGGAAAAGAAGATAACTCATTTTCCAGAGTCAGCGTTGCAACGGGAAAAAAGGGGAGTTTGTATTTGAGTCTGGCCCCTGTCCCTCARCAGAGTCACTTCTGGAAGAGACACCAGCATTGAAGACAACTCACAGCATGGGAGGAGAGCAGGAGTCACACGCAGGGTGACACTGATACTGCAAACTATCACCCACAGCTTCTGCACTTAATTRTTGCTTGTTGGCAAATATGTTCGCTTGCAACAGGACAAAAGCGGGTGTTGAGGGATGGCTGGAAGAGGCAGTGATGCAGTTGTTTATGCATTAATTACTGCAGGGATTTCTGTGTCTAGACAGCACTGGGGAAAAACTGCAGGGACCTGTCTCTCTGTCACTTTGGAATCTGTTAATGTCACTCAAGACCCATAACACAGGGAGGATTTTGCACAGATCCATACTTAAACCTCAGAGCACTGTGTAAAGAGATGGCAGTAACCTGTGCTTTTTGTCTGTAATTGGCTCTACACAAATGTTGTAATGCTGCTTTATTTTTCCCCTTGCATACATTTCTGTTTTTCAGATTGTGAAAAAAGCATTAAAACCATCCCTGATGTTTAATGAGTCCTCCAACATGAAATTAGGCGTGAACAATCAAAAAGACGTCAAAACGGTAATTATTGGGATACACCACATTTGCTTACAAGAGCTGAGATTGTGCTGACATTTCTGAAAACAAATAACAGGTTAAGAAGAATGATTTTATTGCCTATTTTTTTGAAATGTGTGTAGGTTTCAATCCTATTTGTAAACAAGTGAGTGACAAAACCCTCATTGATTTATCCAGTAGACTGATCAAACCTTGCCCAGAGGGAATAATGAGGAGCTAAATCCTGCAGCTCTGTCTGGCTCAGGACATGGAAACCATGCTTGTACAAAAAGCCTCACTTCCAGCATTGGCACAGMATTTATTCATGTATTCATTTATTCAGCGTGCCCACAGTACCTGGACATCACAGTGCATAGCAYGGTGACAGCCATGTTGTCACTTCAAAATAGATTTTTTTTACCTTAGAAATGTCTTCTAAAGCCTGGACAATGTTTAAGCCTTGCTAATGGGTTCGTGGGATGAAATGGAGAACTGTTAAAAACTGGTGGGATTTGTTTTTTGCACTTGATAAGCCAGAGGGCAAAAATTGAAGTAGAGAGTTTGAAAATAATTATTTCATTTTAACCACTGCTCGAAATTGATGTCAGCACTGTAGATTTTGAGAAAAACAGAGAAAATTAAAAGTAAGAATCTTTATCCACATAGAAATTGAAATATAAACTTTCAGAGGCAACTGATTCTGTGAGGTTTTCCCATGTGCATTTTTGGGAACTCAGATTTATGGCTATAGCCTCACAATCACCCCCAGACTYGATTCTCCTGCCTGGAAGTTCAAAAGCTCAGCTCTGAAGTGCACATTGCCTGTCACAGACTGGTGGATGGTTCCAGCTTCCAAGAATTGCCATGGGGAGCCAGACATGATAATTATTGGGGTGAGGTGGATCAGCGTGTGTGGTTGTTTTTTCCTGCTCAGTACAGGGTAGCATTTGGAGCCTGCTGTCACACTTTTCAGCGTGTGAGTGGCTGCACTGCAGATCTGAACCTGTACCCAGGCTATCTTCTCCATCTACATTTCAGGAAAAAAAATGAAAGTGAAGCAAAAGGGAAATGAAGCTAACTCRCCACACTAGAATGACTTGGGAATACTGTTCACACAGATAAATGAGATTTCTGTAGTATCACTTAAGTGAGGTTTAAGACAAAACCCTAGAACATGTTCATAAACCACAAAATGTCTTCCTTCTTCTGAGATTTTTAGACCTGTTTTTGATTCCCTGACTTCATGAACTTCCTTTTTATTGTAGTGCCGGTCTTAATCTTACAGCTAATCTTGTATTAGGGATTTCCTCATTTTGATTTTGGTAGAAATTTTGTTGACCATCCATTGGTCTTGTACTAAAATAAAGCTAATCCACATCAAACTAMTGCATAAAGTTTGGGGGAAAAAGAAGGGGTTGGCGTGTCAGCACAAGAAAATTTAAACCAAAACTAAAATCCTGGTTGTCACACAAACCAACTCCAACCTAGTTTGTGGTCATAGAATCATAGAATAATTTGAGTTTAAAGGGACCCATCTAGTCCARGCCCCTTGCAAAGAGCAGGGACATCTTCAACTAGATCAGGTTGCTCAGAGCCCTGTCCAAGCTGACATTGGAGAGGTGTTCCTCACTTTCAGTGCTGTCTCTGAGAGCACTGTCTGCCAGTAGCTGCAAGCAGAACTCCTGTTCAAAGGCTGTGATTTATTCACCTGCACAGGTATTCGCTGGTGTATCAGTGCCTTGGTGATGGCTTAAATCTTTTCTCTCTGGGTTCTGCTCTAGTTTCAAATCTTAGGGGCAATTTTGATGCTTGCTCTTGTCCTGATGGCTGTTTACTTCATGAGTGTGGACAGCACAGTTGATCCTAATGGAGAAGAAGCAGCAGTTGTCAACATTTACATAGAGCTGGAGGAGGAAGAAGAACTCAACAGAGATCTCCCAAGAACCACAAAACCTGACGAGGACACCAATAGATCCAATGACTCCTGCAGGTGAGTGGGGTTAGATGGCACATGAAGTCATCAYCATCTGGAGAAATGGCTGCAGAACTGATAATATCAGCATGGGTTTTGTTCTCTTCCCATTGTATCATAAGTGATGAAGCATCACTAATTAGGGAAGAGATGGGGTGTTGTTTAGGCTTTGGGTTTTTGGTAGCTGCCTGCTGTGAGGGGCAGTGGGGGCAGTGTCACAGCTCCTGTCCCAGTCCCGTGTTTTTATGCTCAGCTCTGTTGCTCCACTGCCACCTCCAGCAATCCTCCCTTTGTGGCAGCAGAGTGACCATCTGGCAAAGCAGCCTTTGTCAGAGGCTGGAGTGGCAGGGAACCCCTGTGCTGGGAGAGGGTGATGAGGGTACCCAGGCAACATCCAGCCCCAGGGATTTGCTTTTCTCCATATCTTAGGCATGGTAAAACAAAAAAACATTCTGCTGAACTTGGGAGGACGCTGTGCAATATGAGCCTGGCTATAAAAACCAGGGGTAAAAGCACTCCCAGCCCATTTGTCCAGCTCAGTTTGTTTGCTGTGGAGGCTGACATCCAGCACGGCCAGCTGAATGGCCTGGCAGGTGCTCGGTGTCCTGTTAGGGTCACAGTCACCTGCTTCACAATGCACAATTGCCATTGCAGCTTTGAGCTTGTGGAAAATGTTCCTTATGACCTGCCCTTCGAGATAAACAGCACTGCAGCCAAACCCTTGTACCAAGTTTGGAAAAGATTGCTTGATCTAGCCCAGGAAAAAGTTCATGTGGCTTCTTTCTACTGGTCTCTCACTGGGAAGGATATCGGTGTCAACGACTCCTCTTCCAGGCAGGTAGGGTAAAATCAACAATGAGCATGTCTGAGGCTTTTTGTCTCATGTATGTGTGGCACAGGGCAGGGTGGCCGTGTCATCTGTCTCCAGAGTCATTGTTTGGTTCCTGCAAACACAGGAAGGTTTTCGACACCATGCTGAAGCAACGCTCCAAYTTTCCTCCTCCAGTCTCTGAGTATTTTTATGCTGTGTTTTAGGAGGTCAGCCTCAAACTCACACTCATCCTGTGGATGTCCCTGTGCCAGGGACAGTCAGTGGCAGAGCTGAGGAGCCTACAGGACTCTGTGTACACAAAGTGCCAGCTCCCACTGGGTAGTGGGAAGAGTCAGGAAGAAAAGCTGCAGGATTGTGACAGCTGCTGCAAAGGCAGCTTCTCCCATGTGCAGACACCACACYTACATCCACCTCTGTGCAGCTGTGGGACAGCCCAGTGTTGGACAGTCTCTGTCACCTTTAGGCTCAGGGAGAAATGACCCCACGTATCTCTTGAACATCAGGGTCCAGCAGTTGATCTGCACTGTGACAATCCCCTTTGAAGTGTGGGATGTTCGTGGTCATACTTTTAAACCTTACATCTAATAGCATTAGATGACAAAAAATAAACTTTGATTCATACATTGGATCAGAATCCTTATTGCCTCTTTTCTCTACTTGAAACACCCCCGAAATAGGTGAAATTACTGGCCTTCCACACAGCCATTAATAACACTGTACTTGCATGTATCTTACTACACGTTCTTTAATAAAATATAAAAAATAACAATGTACCACACAGGGWGAAGATATTCTGAAGAGGTTTGAGATGTTACTGGCAGAGAATGTCTCTTTGTATATTGCAGCAAGTTCRCCAACTCTGGCTACAAAATCAAGGGATCTTGAGCTTTTAGAGGAAAAAGGTAATTATTTCCATTCAGTGATACACTCAGAGCTTCTGTMCTGCAAAAAGGGATCTGGGGAAACTGGTCTGGTGTGGTGCTTACATGGGTTCACAGGACAAGCACTATCTGTTCATAGAACTAYTTCATGGTTTCTGTCTGTGCTGCAATGCTCTTTAGGATTTTTCTGAAAGTTCACATTTTGCATATTTTTTTCAAGTTACCGTGTTCCCGGGAATGAGAGCTTGTGAATTTTGGTAGTYATTACAGTCTGCAAGAATGAGACATGCAGGTGTGTTCTGGCTGTTGAGGAACCTTTTCCATGCTGCATCTGAACTCTTTTTTCCACTCCCCATCTTTCTTCAGGGGCTCATGTGAAAAAGATTGATTTTGGACATCTGACAGGAGGAGTGTTGCATAGCAAATTCTGGATAGTAGACATGAAGCACATTTATATTGGTAGTGCAAACATGGACTGGAGATCTTTATCTCAGGTAAGMTCTGCTGCTGCATATGCAAAAATCTGGAGGAAAATTCACGTCCTAGCACATAACAGAGAAAAATTGTAACAATGTAAAATATTGTCAGGGCAGAAGAAACAGCAAAGAAACCCCTGGAGGTGGCTCCTTCTGGGACTGTGACACAGCTTGCTCTCTTTGCAGGTGAAAGAGTTTGGTGCTGTGATGTATAACTGCAGTTCCTTGGCCAAAGACCTCTGGAAAACATTTAGTACCTACTGGGATGTTGGATATCCTAATGCCACCATCCCATTCCCTTGGCCTCTTAATTATTCTACCCACATTAACAATCRCCGGCCTCTGGAAGTAGAATTCAATGGAATCTTGACAGAAGCTTATTTTTCTGTAAGTACATTTGAAAATAAGATAGTAGACTGTAAACTGGGTTTAAGGATTGAGCAGAAAAGTTTCTTCAGAATTTCTCCTGAGTTATAGTGTTCCAGGTGGATAATTACTTGTTCCTTAAGTTTCTCTGGAACTATTCAAAGAATAGAGATCAACGCAGCATCAGCTGTCAAGTTGCATGGCAGGAACAGTGTACAGGTCTCTTCTAATCACCTCTGGCTCCATCTATCAAKAAGTATCTGACCCATCAGGACGTGGAAGGCATGAGGAAAAACAGTGGTTAATCTCGAGTGCTTTGTGCTATTCTAAAGAAAACTAGACAGATCTAAACATAAATGAATCACAGTCTGACAGAAAAAAAAKATAATTAAGTCACTGATCTACGTGTTCTCTTTTTTTTTGCAGGCTTCCCCTCCAGCATTTTGTCCAGAAGGTCGCACCCATGACCTCTATGCTATCCTCAGTATTATCAGTCAGGCACAGAAGTTTGTCTATGTTTCTGTTATGGAATATTTCCCTACCAGCCGTTTCCTTCATCCRAAAAGGTACCATTTTAATCCTGAGCAAATCACTTACTTGCACTATTTAAAGAAAAAATATATGACCCCCCTCCTTCTGCAATGAAAATATTCTGAGTGGAGAGAACTGGGGTTTTGCTCTGCATTCACAACCATCCCATGGACTGTACCTCTCAAGTACCGAGGGATGAGAGAAAACAGCATCAAGTTGTGCCAGGGGAGGTTTAGATTGGACATTAGGAAAAAGAAATTAATGGAAAGGGTTGTTGACTATTGGAACAGACTACCCAGGGAAATGATGGAGTCACCATCTCTGGGAGTGTTCAAAGAGTACATGGATAGGGCACTTGAGTACATGGTTTGTTGGTTTATTGAACATGGTGCTGGACTGCAAGTTAACCTTAAAGGCCTTTTCCAGAATTTAACAATTTTAGCATTCTGTGATTCCAGTCCTGATGCTGCAGGAAGGATAACACTCAATAGTGCCCGTGTGCTTTGCTGGTGTTTTAGAGCAGCCCCACGCACAGCAGGAAAGTTGGGAAGTGCCAGACTAGGGACAGTCAGGTACAGCATCCTCCAAAATCCAACAGAGCAGCTTTGTGAATAGAGGGAGGAAAGGGAACAGCAGAACTATTATCTGACACCAGACCTTTCAGAGAAAATATTGCTGGGCTCTCCTTTCTTTCTCCCATTTCTCTTTCTTTCTGTCTTTTACTTCTGAAGAGTCTTGACTTCCTTTTCTGCTTCCTGTTTAATGCACTTGACCCATAGTTTAGAGGGTGGTTCTTGACAGTCCTGACCTTTGCAGTGAGAGCTGAAACAGCCTCTAAAGAAAACTTCTGGGGTTTTTTGTTCATTTGAGGTTTGGTGTTTTTGTTGTAGGTTTTTTGATTGCTGTTTGGGTTTTCTGTTTTGTTTGGTTTGTAATAATTCCATCTAAGGCCATCCAAGTTCCAGCAGCAGCTTCAGTGAGAAGGTGGTAGGGATGATCCGGAGTCATCACAGAATCACGGAATGGTTTGGGTTACAGACCATCCAGCTGCTCCCATCCTGTGTCATGGGCAGGGACACTTTCACCAGACCAGGCTGCTCAAAGCCCCATCCAGCCTGGCCTTGAGCCTGTGTGTGGTGAAACCCTGCCACGGTCCCAGAGCTGCCCAAGGACACRGCAGAACRGTGSAGACTCTGCACATGAACCCAAACCYGAGTAACACARAAAGTTACTCAGTCATGGGGCAGCACTAAGATCCAAATCCTCTTAGATATGCTTGAATCAGGATGTTTRCATGCAACCAAGTGCTCTGAATTATCTGCTTATATAATTTCTGAGTTTTCCATCCATCTAAACAATCTGAGAAAGAAGTTCAAGTGAAATAATTATGTACAACATGGCTTGTTGAATAGGGTAAGCTCTAGGCTGCCCTTTGGCATGCATTATGTCCTGTGTCACAACTGTGTAAAACCTCTGTTGTTCAGCTGGGGCACAGCTGTGTTATGGGGAAGATTTTAGGATAATAGAGAGACACAGATAATTCTACTGTTGAAGAAATAAAATCCCAAGACTAGCTTCCTCTTAGAGGATGTGTTTAATAAATCAAACAGCTCAGACGGTTTTTGACTTCTATGTTGTATGGTTGAGTCTCTGGGTTTCTYATCTTCTGATTTTAGCCAAGAATAGGTTCCCAGAAAGTCTCTTTTCCCCCTTAGGACTGAGAGTGTTAATACTCCTTATTCTGCATCTGAAGSCTTAATCCACAGTCTGTGACATCTAGGGCTGATCAGATGCAAACAAGAGTTTGAAAGGCCCAAGGAAAGCAGTGCAGGGCCTTGGGCTATCTCCACAGCAACCAGCTGTAGTGCCATGAATTGAAGCTGATTAGTTCAGGTTAGGTTCCTCCAGCAGCTGAGGCAGAGGGRACAAAGCTGCTGTCTAATGCCTGACTGTTAATCAACTAGAAACTGATATATTAAAAAAATTACAACTGTTCAAAAATAGCATTTCAAATAGCATGATTTTCCAAGTTTTTCAGGATCTGTAAGTCAAGCCTGAGCCTCAGAGCATGTGGCCAGGCCATTGATCACAATAGGACGATGCACGAGGGAGGATTAGAGAATTCAGGCCTTTTTACATAAGACCAAAAGGATTAAGTTAGGCAAATTAATTCATCATTTCTCACGGGACTGTGAGTGAATGCTGGACCTCTCTCTGTATCAGCCCTCCAATCTGTACTGACTGTGCTCGTCTCCCTTCGTGCAGCATTTGTTCGGATGTATGGAATGAAAATGCTGTGTGGGTGTTTGGAGTTGGTGCCCTGGGAGGGACATTGTCCAGCTCTTGGTGTTGTGTAGCTGGGTGAATTATGTTAAAAATGCTCTCCTAAGCTATTGCCAACACAAGTGTCAGGAAAACGGATTTTCCCATGTTCAGGGAACATGGAGAGCACAGCGCTGTCCATTACTCTGGGGACACACGACGAGGGCAGGGAGGGGTGGGGAGGGATAGATCCTGCCTACACTGGCTGATGGCACAGGACCACTGTGGATATTGGAAACAGTCCCCAGGACCCTGAAAAGGCCATAGTCTGCAAAATGGTTCTTAGACTTTCCTCTGGGTTCAGCACTGTCCTTTCCACTCTGTGTTGCATGATCTGGCTTTACCTTGGAGTTGCTATTGTTTCGTTTCCGAAGGAAATGAGCATGATGGCACCGTGCTTTTTGTGTATCTGTGTACCTGCACTTCACTAAGCTTCAAACTTTCTGATGAATTTTGCCCCAGTTTGGCAGAGTGTGGTCTCAAAACACACTGTGAAAAGAACTGCCTTGGTAGAAAACAGAAATCTTGTTTGTACCTCCAGGGAAGGCACAAGTGCTTCACTTACTAGACATCAGAGATCCCATCTGTGCATCATCACTTGTAGTCTCAGTTTATTGTCACAGCTTTCTACTGAACTGCTTTAAAAGAATATCCCTTTTCCCCACACACATCCTTTTCTGCAGATACTGGCCAGCCATTGACAACGCCCTGAGACGTGCAGCTTTCAACCACAGAGTGCAAGTCCGGCTCCTGGTCAGCTGCTGGGCATACACTGACCCAGCCATGCTCCACTATCTGAGGTCCCTGCGTGCTCTCAACAACCCACATGTCCACATCAGTGTTGACGTGGTATGATTAGAAACCTGATTTTGGAAAGACACCTTGAGGATACGGCCCCACACTGACTTTTGTCTCTTTTTTTTTGAGACTGAGATGCTGTTTCCATGTGCAAGTATTAGCTTTTAGAGAGATAAGTTGTGTGTTTTTGCAGTGACTGCTTCACATTCTTGTGAAAATAAGGCCTAATATATAATCTTTGGGGAAGCAGCTCTTTCAGGCTACTCATGATATCAGGRATGTGCCTGGCTGTGGCACTTGTGACATTATCCAGATGCTTTTGATGAGCACTGTGACAGTAACAGTTTATATGGTAACTTAGTGCTCCTCTCAGAGATCTTTT